AAGGGTATACTGAAAATCCACAGCAGTAGCTATAGTGAGGGGACAATTCGAGGGTGCAGTACACAAAGAACCGACCCCCAACCAGTACCCGAACCCCCCCTGAAAAATAGAGCCCATGCGCCCCCCCCCCTCTCTACCTCCCCCAGAGGATGAGGAGGGTACAGTCCAGCACAAGCTTCCCTAATAATGTTAATGCCTATTGCTATGGCATTAAATACTAAAGTCCCTCATTGGGCGGTGGAGGACTTAGAGCTAAACACCCCAAAACTCTCCGGCGTGAGATCCAAAATGGATCGGACGGTGGAGGGGGGGGGGGTGTTCGTTGCTTGAAGTGGATCGATAAAACATAGAGCCATCAAAGCAAAGCTTATTACTCGCGTCGAGCAAGCTGAACGACCGGACCAACCACGCAAAAACTGCGGAGCTAGATGTGCGGCACGCACAATGCAAAGTTTTCGATTGGAGAGAGGCGAGTATAAAGCAGTAAGGAATTGTTGGCCAAACTTTCGGCAGATAGGTCTACTCGGGAGCGTAAGTGGGGTAGCAACCCATGGTGGAGCGTACATGAGAAGCTGGACGTTGGTGTACGCCCCATCCCGGCGTGTGAGTAGGATCTTAGGCTATGCAAGTCGTCCCTGAACTTATTGTGGTGAAAATGACCTCCCAGGAGGAAAGTAGCCTGTACCGCGGGACTTCGGAGATGATAAATTGGATGGTCGGGGGACGTCTGGGTGTTAACTAAGCAGAGCGCCCGGCACAAGACTGGGACACTTGTGTCAGGAGGTGTGAACTTGGATCAAGACTACGAGCCTATGTTGGAGGCGCTATTTAGCGTCGGTGAGCCGGCAAAAGAACTGAAAGGAACCACAACCCCCGCCGGACACTCGGATTGGGAAGGCCGAGTATTCCGTATACCTTCCTGAAAAAACACGAAAAACAAGCGACCACGGTCCAGTTGCCGTAGAGATCATGGGGATGGTGAAGAAGCCGGGAGGATGGAAGCAGAAAAATATCGAAGGGAGACAAGTTGGAGCCGCTGCTGTTTGGGATTCCAAGGGACATGACGAGGATAGAGTTCAAGAACTGTTGTGACAGGGAGGGACTGCACTGCCTAGCAAGGGGACAAGTAGGCAGAGAACATGAACACTTCCGGGTGAAATTGACCAAGGGAGACAGCCAAGAGTGCTTGGGGGTTGATATCGAGAAGCTGTCGAACTACGTAAGGAAGTTTGGATGGAGGGTTTGCATCGCGAACATGATAGAAACAGAGAAGATAAGGAGACAAGAGGCGAGGGCGGCGGAGGCGAAGAAAGGACCGAGCAGGGCAGTCGAACAAGCAAGTCAGAAGAAGTCCGAGAAGAAGCGGAAGGCGAACGATGGTGTGCGCAAAATCTCCAATAGGGAAAAGCGCAAGCTGAGAGTCGGGTCGTGGAACGTGTGCGGGTTCGCAAGGAGTGAGCGCAAGCGGTTGGAAATAGTGGACCAAGTAGAACAAAGCGATCTAGATGTAGTGGGGATCCAAGAGACGTGGGAATTGAAGGATGGGGACGTGGTAAGCAAACTAGGGAAATACCGGTGGGTAGGGAAGGCAAGAAAGGGCTTAGACCCGAAGAAAAGGGGGGAGGGGGGAGTCGGATTCCTGGTCAAGGAACACTTGTTTGACGTGGTGGAAGTAGTGGTGAAAACGGAGTTCGAGGAAACCCTATGGCTTAAGATACCTGGGGAGCGGAGTGAGAAAGGTTTGTTTCTAGGGAACGTATATATATGTCCCACCGTCGTCGAAAAGTCGCAAGCAAGGCGCAGGAGAACTTTG